CGCCACAACGTACGTTTTCTAATGACTTTCGCAGAAGCAAATTACTACTAGAAGGGATGCATGACTGGTCAGAGAACGAAATGTACAAGAGTCACAAAGAAAAAAAAAAAGAACGAAATGTATATGTACAAGTTGCATTGCATTGCTCTGCCCTGAAACTTCTTCGTTCCATGCATTGTGATCGACCTTATTAATTATTATTCACTTGTATTAATTCTTGTACATACGTCCACGCATGCATGGATATCCCGGTCTTGACTGCAGATTTTTTTTCCCGGCCGCTGACCAATTATCAGTGGTCAGCGCCAGAGACAGCCACTAATGCTCATTGGTCATCGATCGATCGATCAGAAGGCCAGTCAGGTTTTGTCACTATAGTTAGTCCATGCTGACCATTATACATATGTAGCTAGCTAGCTAGGAGCTAGCTGCTGCTTCTACCTGCTTCCTAGCAACCTTCCAGTATCATGTATCACCACTACTTGTCACAGTGACATGCATGCATGCATGTGTAAAATGTCAACTGCAACAAAAAGAGTCGCCAGGATTGACAACATTATTAGCAGATGCCACTTGTTTATGATCTACCACTACTACCTTCTGCAACATGGTTAACTATGACCAAATAAGATTCCACGCGCGCTAGCAGCCGCGCTGCATATGCAGATGCAGCTTCTTGTTGCCAGCCATCCCTGTCGTCTGTAATAACAACAACTACTACTACTTCCGATCGATCCACTGGGACCTCGCGTAGACTACTCCTAGATGGGATGGTCGTCTCTGACGACTCTATTCATTTCGCTGATCTGGGCCCCCATCCATGGATGGATATGATGAACCGATCAATGCAACATGCATGATCTCGATCGCCACATGCATGTAAACATCATCAGATATTCGTCAGAATATCAGATGCATGCAACAGTTTCCATGCATAATATTGGTGCCGTCAGGGCGTCGGAAAGTATCGATCGATCCAAGTGGCACGGGCATTTTAAAAAGCAAAATAGGTGAGGAAATATCTAACTGGTAGGTAGTACCGGACCGGCAGGCCGGCCGTTGGCAGTTTTTTCTGGTGGCGATCCCATGCATGCAAGCGTGCGTGGGGCCGGCGGGGTCGAGCAGGGCGATCAGATCAGGATGATATATATGGAAGAATGGAACACGAGAGGTCGGAAGGTTCCAAAAACATCGATTTTCTGTAGGGCCAGATGCCAATGTGCTTGTGCAGAGAGAGAGAGAGAGACGACTGATGATTGTGAGGACCAGTGGACCAAACGCCACTGTCAGGTAGCTATACCTCCTGCAACGGCCACATGATCATGCATGCACGACCACCTTTAATCTGTACGCTAATGCAAGAATGAATTAATAATGTGTACATATATATAGTTAATCAAGGAGCTGATGATTAACTAGGAATATTACACAGGGCAGCATCTATCTAGCTATCTACATACATGTATTAAACCTTTATTTTGGCCCAGACTAGAATAATGCACTAGCTATATAGTTCATGTCATCATGTGACATGGAGTGCCAGCAGACCAGAATATCGAGTCGTCGATCAGTTGGAGCCAGGAAATAATCTTTCTCGATCGGCTGGCAGGAATACAGTTTGCAAATCTCTCATGCACAGAGAGGGAAATGATCAGATGAGAGGAGGAAGAAAAGGCCCTACACTACACTAGTGCACTACTACACGAATCGATCAGAGTGCATGCAGCGGGCCGGGGTCATGCATGCATGCATGCATGTCAGCATGTGCTGGCATGTGCGTGCCGGCGCCCGGCCGGACGGCGGTCCGTAGGTTGGCCGGCCGGTCGCCGCGGCGCGGCGGCCCACGGTCCCCGGCCCTGGCACAGACAAAACGCGTGCACGCGCGGCAAAGCAAAGCTGCACGGATGCATGTACGCAGCATGGGGCACGCCGCACGGCGCGCGCGACCGAGCGACATGCATGTCTGGTTCATATACAGGACCAGACGGCGCGCGGGCGGCCGGAATAATGCATGGAAAGCATGCACGATTCCTATATATGTTTATACGTAGTATATGTATAGATGTATGTACGCAGTTCACATGTGCATGCACGCACAGAAATAAATGATTTAAGGCTAGTAGTATATTAGCAGGAGCTCCATCTTTAACTTTTATACTACCAAAAAAATGTCTCCGTGTGTTGCAGCGAACCCAACACGTACATATAGAATTGGACTCCATGTTATCGTTAGCGTGGATTTTTCCAACTCATAAGAGCACATGTCATGAGCCTGATGAGTCACGTACGGGATACAGAGGACGCGACCCAATACACAAGACGCAACGTGTCATGAGTTCGAGTCACATATAAGACATAAAGGGCGTAAGCACAGTTTAGGAAGTAAAAAACGGAACTCAAGAAACTTTTCACTGTTCGGTAGTTAGGGAGAAGTAGTCGAAAAAATAGGATGCAATTTTGACTTTTTAATATTAGATGTAGCTATAGATATAAATTGGTTACCTGTATTTTTGACGTACGCGCGCCCGGTCGCTCTCTCTTTTCCTTTCTCTCCTTTTGGAACACTATCTTACTATTACTAATTAGAGGCCCCAATGGAGGCACCACATTAACTCTCACGAGATGCGCTAGGGAAAAAGATAAATCCGAGAATAATCAGAAACATATGGCCCTTAATTTGGTAGACTCTAATCATCATCTTTAATAATGGCCATTGAATCTATTGTAATTTCTAAAAAAATTACCCAACCCAGCCATTATGAAGAGTAGATAAAGTAACCCTCTAATTTTGCATATAAATTACCCACCTCCGCCATTACGAAAGATAAATTCAAAATAACCCCCTAAATTTGTATATAAATTACCCACGCTTGTCATTATGAAAAATAATTCAAAATAACCCCCCTAAATTTGTATCTAAATTACCCATTTTGTCATTATGAAACATAATTCATAATAACCCTCTCACATTGTGCTAAATTAGCCACCTCTCACAAATCTATATCTAAATACTAATATATGCTATTATAAAAAAATAAATATTCACAATGCTATGTTTGACCATTTATATATGAGACATATATATTTCTATATTACAAACTTCTATAACTGTGAAATTAAATAACCATAATGCTATGTTTGACCATGTTTACCAAGTAAACATATGTACATTAGGATAAATATATATTTTAATAGCTTATAAGCATGGAAAATGTTTAATTAACAAACCACATAGCAATAACATAACACCGGCAATTTCCTTTAAATTATATTAATACTCCCTAATAATAAATTTCATAAGTTGTTTTTAAATAACTTGATACATTATAACTGAAACATTAAGTCATATCAATATTGGTAATTTTTAGCACTCTATGATATATAAAATAATACTACACATATAATTCTACTATATAACAAATTCAACAAGTTCGCAGTGCTAGGGTGCACTTTGAGATTCAACTTAATTAACATGCAGAAAACATTATTACTAAGACCTAAACTCTTTTTAATAAAAACAATGAATAAAAAACAAAACACTAGAGTTTCTACTAGAAAGGGATGCAATATGAGATTATATCTTATGATTAGGTTTAAACTAAATGCATGTCATGCTAAAAAGATAAATACTAGAAATGCTAACTAGAGGTCTTTAATAGAGCCTCCACGTTAATCCTCACCTGACATAGTAGGAAAGTAAAAGATAGATCCTAAAAATTTCTCACAAAAATCTAAAATATTTAACCATCAATTCGATATAACCTAATCACCATTGATAATAATAGTTATTGGATCTATTCTAATTTTTAAATAATTACCCACCTCTACTATTACATAAAACAAAAAAAATAACTCATGACTATATTTAAGTTACCCACATATGCCATTAAGAAACATGATCTAAAGTAGACCTAAATTTGCATCTAATTACCCCCTTACTCCTATTATAATAAATAATTTATGTAACTCAATTTTCATATCATTACTAAGAAAATTAAATATCCTCTCAAATATACATCTAAAACATAATCAATATCTTCTATTAAAAATTGCTTAAATAACCGTAGAGCATGTGGATGTTTGTACATTACTCACTTCTATCAATATAAATTTATTAAGATTTGATTAATGTAAGCATACACATTGTGTGAGCATGCATGAGCGAAAAATATATATGTTATGTTTCATCAACAAAATATTTCCTTAACAACTCATATACTAATGATGCTAACACATTTTTAAAACCATATTAGTAACCATGACATAATTTATATAGGTTATTATTTTATCTATATTTATATATTTTAAGTAATTGTTTAACAAGTCTATGTTGATAGTATAACCATAATTGCACGTATAATTTCTTGATAGAAAAATTCAATCATCTTAAGAATTATAGGAGAGACTACTGGTGGCATTGGCGGACGTACGGGGGGGGGGCTAGGGGGGCTGCAGCCTCCCCCGGTGGGCTGCAAAAAAAATTTAACAGTTTTTAGCCCAGCCCAAAAACCGGCCAGCAGAGCAGACGGCCTCACGGCCAGACGCCCAGACGCATCGCCGCAGCGCTCCTCGCGCGTCGCGCAGGCGCAGCATCGCGCCCCGCCGCCGCCCGCCGCGCCTCCTCGCAGGCTCGCGGCTCACCTGCTCGCGCGTCGCGCCTCCCCTCGCTCCTCGCCCCCTCGCGGCCTCGCCCCCCTCCCGCCCCCTCTGCTCCACGATCGGCCGGTGAGAGGCCGGGCAGGCGCGGCTTGGCGGGCGGCCGGAGATGGAAGCGTGCGGCGGCCTGCTGCAGCCTGCAGGTTGTAGCTGGGAGGAGGGCAGGCGTCGCCATCGGGCGCCAGCAGGGCGGTGGGGCGGTCAGCCCCAAGCCCCCAAGTCGGCAAGTCCCCAACTGGCCAGCCCCCAGGTGCCAGGTCCCCTCTGTGCGGCTCTGCCCTCTTTAATTCCTCTTTTATTTTTTTCAGTCAGTGATTCGATTGGTTTTACTTTGTAGTTATAGAATGGAAAATTTTTTTGCTAAGAAAGATGCTTCTACTCAAGAGAGTCGGGTTGTGCAAAAAAGACCCCGCATTGAGCTTGATATGAATGATATAGTTGCTGATCCAGGTCTTAGAAAGCCAATTGATGAATTCCACCATGATATTTGGGATGATGCTAGGAGAGCATATTTACAGATGAGTCCATATCAACCAAATTGTAAGTATGAAAGAACAGCGGGTAAAACTCAAACTAGAGGTTTTGTTAAATCATGGTTTACTCAATTTGATTGGTTAGAGTACAGTCCTGCCAAGGATGCAGCCTATTGCTTTTATTGCTACCTCTTTAAGCCACCATCAGCAAGCAATTTTGATGATAATGAGGCATTCACCAGAGTAGGGTTCAAAAATTGGAAAAAGGGAAAGGCTTCTTTGCTTAAGCATACTCAATCAATTGATGGCTACCATAGTGCAGCAAGAAAATGAGCAAATGATTTCAAAAATCAAAGACAAAGTGTAGAACATGTGTGGGTAGTAACAACTGCAGCAGAAGAGGAGGCATATAAAGCTCATTTAACTATAATGTTAGGCATTGCTAGATTTCTTCTTTTGCAAGCTCTGGCATTTCGTGGGCATGATGAGTCTAAAACATCTAAAAATAAAGGGAACTTTTTGGAGATGCTTGATTGGTATAGAAAGAAGGATCCTAAGGCTGCACTTGTGATAGCTAAGAATGCTCTAGGGAATAATCAAATGAGTTGTCCAACAATTCAAAAAGATTTGGTAAGGGCTTGTGCAGAGGAGACAAGTGAATTAATTAAGAGTGAAATTGGAGATCGTTGGTTTGCGGTGCTTGTTGATGAGGCTCGTGATGCATCAATTAAGGAACAAATGGCCGTGGTTGTGAGGTATACATCATCTATTCGTGTATTTCATTTCTTTTGTTTTGTGGCTTCCAATTAACACTATGTTTCCTTTTGTTTTATAGGTTTGTCAATGATAAAGGAAGTGTGATTGAGAGGTTCCTTGGACTACAACATGTTTCTGACACCACATCATCTTCACTGAAGGAAGCATTGGTTTCTATGCTTGCGAGATATGGGTTATCTATAGCCAAGGTTAGAGGACAGGGATACGATGGAGCTTCAAACATGAGAGGGTAGTTTCATGGGTTACAAAGGCTGGTATTGAATGAAAACCCTTTTGCTTTTTACATCCACTGTTTTGCTCATCAATTGCAGCTTGTGGTAGTTGTTGTAGCCAGATGTTGTGCTTCAACTGATGATTTCTTCAATTATGTCACTTCAGTTGTCAATACTGTTAGTGCTTCTTGCAAGAGAAAAGATCAACTTCTCCAAAAACACCATGATACTCTTGTTCAGCAATTAGATAGTGGTGAAATATCTCCTGGGAGAGAGAAAAACCAAGAAACTAGTCTTGCTAGGCCTAGTGATACACGATGGGGTACACATCACAAAACATTAGTACGTCTTATGCTCATGTGGGAACCTGTGCTTGAGGTGTTAGAGAATATTAGTGATGATGGTAATGATGGGGAAAAAAACTATAGCATCTGGATTGATAGAAAAAAATGGAGTCATTTCAATTTATGTTCATATTGCATCTGATGATTAGAGTATTGGGGATAACTCAAGACCTATCACAATGTTTGCAAAAGAAAAATCAAAACATTGTTCGTGCAATAGGATTGATTGGTTCTGTGATGAGAAATATAAATGCCATGAGGGAAAATGATTGGGATGATCTTTTAGAGAAGACAAAAGCCTTTGCTGCCAAACACAATATAGACATTCCTAATATGGAAGATATGATACCAATGAGAGGTCGTTCAAAATGTCATGGAGCCAAATATGTGACCTACTACCATCATATTCATCATGGGATTTTCAATGTTGTCCTTGATCAAATAATTTGTGAGTTGAACAATCGATTTCCAGAAAGATCAACTCAACTATTGAGATGTGTTGCTTGTCTTGATCCGACAAATGAGTTTGCCAACTTTGAGATAGAGAAATTAGTTGAGCTTGCTAAGATTTATTATGCTGACTTTAGTGATTATGAATGTGAAAAGCTAAGAACTGAGCTTGAAAATTTCATGGATGAAGTCCAACATGATGAAGATGAAGAATTTTGCTCTTGTATTGATCTTGGTGGCCTTGCTGAGAAGATGGTTAAAACTGATAGACATACATATTTTCCTTTGGTGTATCGCCTCATTGAGCTTGCATTGATATTGCCCGTGGCAACAACAACAGTTGAAAGAGCCTTCTCTGCTATGAATATTATCAAGACCGACAGGAGGAATAAAATGAATGATGATTGGATGAATAATAGCATGATATGGTATATTGAGTGGGATTTGTTTGCATCCATTGAAGATGATAAAATTTTAAAGCGCTTTCAAGTCTTAAGAAACCGTAAGATAAACTTGCCACCCAAGGTCCCAAGGTGCGTATTGTTTTAGAGCTTTTCTTTGTATTTGTTATCTTGGTTATTGAAGAAGTGGTTGACATTTAAAAATTATGTAGCATTGAGCGTGGCGGTTCAAGTGGTGTGAATTCTTGAAGATGGAAGACTCCTTGTATTTGGTACTTTTCTATGCTTATTATCATAATTCTATGTATCTTTGACTTTGAGCACTTTGAATCAATTATCTAATTCTATGCTTATTAGTGTACTGTGTCCAGCGAGCAAATTTTTTTGGCCTATGTTGTTTAGCCCCCCCCCCTTGGTCCGTTTCTGGATCCGCCACTGACTGGTGGCTATATTTTTTCGGCCCTTTAACATTACCCTATAGCAATTCGTCCATTATAAGGCAAGATTTAAAATTCTCTTGAGGTTAGCACTGCTACCTCCATCCGAGACCTCATTTCATGGTCTATCATTTTATCTTAGGTGACATGGTGCAAGTTTCAAATGATTGCATATGCTACTGTAATTTTTAGGAATGTACTATATGACCTAAAATCCTTATTTTAAAATAGTGTAAAATGAGAGTTAGTAAAAGATACAATAAGCACATCGTGTAGCAGTCCATAAAAATAAAGTTAAAAATAAAAATTCAGATTCATGACTTAATATATGTGATGCAAGAAGGGTCACCATAGTTAATGGCAAGGTGTCAAACTAATTGCATATTAAAATATACAAGGTGCCATGCAAAGTAAAAATATGAATACACTTGAAAAATATATAAGTCAGTCCCTTGCATAAAAAGTTATTAATAAGTTTATGACCACTAGATATAGACTACACATTATCTATTATGTCTATTTTATACGAAATAAACAAAGAAAACATACAATTATTTAATATAAGTATTTTTTATTAACAAAATATATTAATAGTATATCTTTTAAAATTATAGCCCGTGCGAGAGCACAGGTTGATGGACTAGTATATATAACAACAGATCTGCCTGGACGTTCGGACGTTGGCTTTTGTCCGAACGCCCTTGGGGCTCATCGCTGCATCATCGACGATGTACTAATGAAACATGTCAGAATTACTATTGAAACATGTACAATATCGTTGTTGCAACATCTGTAAACACAACACCTGCATCAGCAAACGCCGCTCCCGACAAGCATTGTGATTTTCCTCCCATGCGAGGTCGCACCACCTATCCACCATCTGGGCCCAGCACTGCAGATCATAGGCGCACCACCACAGAGGCACCTACGTCATCAAGTATATGACATATAAGAAGATGAAATTAAGCGTAATTAATCTCAGAAAAAAAAAGTATTAATGTTCTATATTTACCTTCAGGTATTGTTCCGAGGTTAGGCTCATGGTTCTTGCCGCCCTTTTAGGGATCCTCTCTCTAAGAATTTCCACGTGGTATTGGATCATGGCCTGGATACGCGCCTCGTAGTGCATGTCCTTGACGAGTTTCTTGGCGGCTTTATCAGCCATAGCATCCGCCTTGCCCTCATATCCCACCTCGCATCTAAAGAAATCCTGCATATATATAGACGTGATGTATCCAATCATTATTTCAAGAATATCCAATCAATGCGATGTATTGAGCAATGTAGTGTGAGAAAGACTTACCCAAAGCTCGGCCTTGACACGTTTCACCTTGCCGACGAATACCCTGCCATCCCGATCAGGGGTGTCGGGGACGGCGGCATAGTGGGCCCACGTGTAGGCCGGCTCGACAGTTCCGCTGAACTACACCAAGCCAGGGAACTTTTCCTTGATCAAAAGACCAAGGATGCCGTTCACATGGCATGCGTGATCACCCCCACCGACCTTCCTTCAACCCCTGCCCAAGTGATTAAGATAAATTATTAGTTTCTATTGTAATTTTGAACATATCAAACGAAAAATTAGTGATAACATATAAAGTTACTTACTTATCTCCATCGGGTCGAATCAGCGAGCGTCTCTCAAGAGGTATCGGTTGCCTCAAGAGGGTCGAGCGACCTCGCAACCATACACGCGACGAACTTGAGGAAGAGGTACCCCCTGCCTCCTCCTCCACCTATACCTCCTCTTCTTCAGAGGATGAGTGAGCAGAAGGTAACTCAGACGGCGACAAAGGTACATGCAACGGTGGCCTTGTCTTGCCTCCACCCTTCCCTTGACCCTGGGTCTACCCCGAGGTCTCTTCCCAAATCCCTCAGCTGTATCGGACCCTTTACGCATCGCTATCATTTTTGAGTAAAGCGACGCTATCCTCTTTATACCACCCACCATTGTTCAATCACCTGCAATTAAAAAGAGTAAACCAATTAGCACAGATAATACATTAAAATAGATGCAAAATAAACAAAACATACTTAGAAAATAACATGGTTTGACAAATAATAAATCAATTAGCACGGATCATACATGTATTAGAAATAATCATCATGATCGGGATTAGTTGGATCATAAGTCTCATCATCACTATCATGCATATCGATATAATCATCCCCGTGCTCCGAAGGAGGAATGTCATCACCGTCATTGCTTAGATGTAATCGCTGAAGTAATTCTAAGTCCTTCACATTCTGAACCTCATCTCCGACGTCCTCATCAGCACCACTTTCATTGTCTACTTCCATACCCTGAGCTTCGGTTAAGTCTATCTCAAAACTCCCTTTGAGCCCATCTTCTTGAAAGAACTCTCCGTCATATGTGTTGGGGTCTATGTTGTAATCTTGATTGTTTGGGACAGGTAGTTTACCGTGTGGCGATACCTTGTACACAACATCCCAACCCTTAAGACGGTCTATAGTTTGGCATGGGTATGAGAGATAATAAACTTGCGTGGCCTGTTGAGCCACAATATAGACATCGTCTCTTGGTAAGATGGATGATTGTCGAATTTTGACTAGCCCAAGATTAGGGGTCCACCTCACTACTTCAGGATCAAACCAATGGCATTTGAATATAATGGGATTAAGAGGTTTGCAACCATGAAACATGAGTTCGTATATTTCTTCAATTCTTTCATAATACTCAACCCCATCTAAGCCTTGTGTAAAAACTCTGGTATTTGTGGTTCTTCGATTAGGCCGACTCTACTCATGGCTTGTTGTGTGAAACGATATCTTCACATCATAACAGGTAAATGACCTGACCCTATAGGCACAATCATCGGCAACCTGTCTCAACTCGGCACTATAGATGCATCGGTTTATCCCTACAAGTTCAAGCAGGGTAGTTCGTTATATTAGTCACACATACGAGCAACTTGTAATGTCAAACTAAGTACGAGCCAAATTAGACATTACCTTTTGTTTAAACCAAGAAATGAAATCGGGCATTCCATTTCCCGCACCCTCTCTAAGAAGGGTCGAAGTTTCCTATGGGGTAGGTTTCCTTGATTCACTCTAGAATTGTTCATGAAATTCCCTGTACCAACAAGAAACAAAGGGAGTTGGACACAAAATTATGACTACTTAAGAAAAAGTTTGTTGAGAACTTACATCATATACGGCTCCACTTCGGATAGGTTGGTCAACACATATAACATAATAGTGTGCCACTCTTCATGTTTCAAGGTCTTGTTAGTCGAACCACTTGCACTTCCTAGTTGCCCTCGGAAAATGCTAAGATTCGATTCATCTTCGCCAGTATTGTAACGAGGGGGTGGATTATGCACGCTAGGAAGGTTGTCAGCATAGTATTTTGTTGTGAAATTTGACACCTACTCTAGAATGTATGCCTCTGCTATGGATGCTTCAATTTTGTATTTATTTTTACATTTAGTTCGAAGAACCTATTGAAATCTCTCAATTGAATAGCACCAACGGCCTAGCACAGGCCCCCCATTCGTGTCTCATACGGGAGGTGCAAAATCAAATGCTGCATCGGATTGAAGAAGCTAGGTGGAAAGATCTTCTCCAACTTGCAGAGCAACATAGGTGCTATTCTTTCCACGGTACGAGATAACTCCTTAGCACAAAGCTGGCGGAAGAAATTGCTCAACTCCGCCAGCACTATCCAGACATGCTTAGGGATATAGCCGCGAACCATCACTGGCAGTAGCCGCTCAAGCCATATGTGGTAGTCATGACTCTTGAGCCTGTTGATTCACAAAGTAGCTAAGTTCACTCCCCTCTTCAGATTCGATGCATACCCATCAGAGAACATTAACGTTTGGAACCATTCTAGTACTTCCCTCCTTTGGGCCCTCGTTAGAACGAAATCGGCCTTAGGCTTTCTCCATGACTTGCCGCCTTCGGGAGGCGTCATGTCTAGCTTTGGTCTATTGTATAACCTCGCCTGATCCACTCTAGCCTTAACATTATCCTTTGTCTTATCAGGAATGTCCATGATTGTACCAAAAATTACCTCGGCGACATTTTTTTAGTGTGCATTACATCAATGTTATGTGGAAGTAGAAGGTCATCAAAATAGGGGAGGTTCCACAAGCACGACTTGTGAGTCCATGCATGTTCCTCACCGTATCCCAGAAAATGATCTCCTTGGTCATTGACCTCGAGAGCATCTAACTGAGCACGAACCGTGGCACCAATCATCATCTGGGGTGCAGGGCCTTCAACTACTACATCTTTCATAAAGTTCTTGATGTCTCGTCTGAATGGATGGTCAAGAGGGAGGAATTGTCGATGTTTGTCGAACAAAGAATACTTACCACCCTTCGTCAACCAAATGAACATCAGAGATGCCTTGCATACTGGGCATGAGAACTTCTCGTGAACACACCAGCCGTAGAATATCCCATACGTCGGAAAGTCATGCAAGGAGTACTAGTACCAAACATGCATTTTGAAGTTTATCTTTGTAGCTCGGTCGTATGTCCATACCCCTTCCTCTCAAGCACAGACCAAATCATCAATCAGAGGCTCCATGTACACACTCATATTATGCCCCGGGTGTTCAGAAATTATCAACGATAAGAATATGTTCTATCGTTGAAAGAGGACGCCAGGGGGGAGATTGAGAGGGATAACGAACATGGGCCAACAAGTGTATGAGGCAGCCACCATTCCATAAGGATTGAAC